ATCATGTTTTTTCTGTCCTAGTGATATCTAAATTAGCGAAATGTTGGCAGTTAACTTTTCACCTGAATATTAGGGATTCAAGGTTTTATGGTTTGGATTTTTCCATGATACTCATGCAATGTTAATCTCTGTTTTATAAAATTAAAAACGTTTTTATTCGGAGCAAAAATAGCTGCATTGCTCAGATTTTTTGTCCGTTTCTCTGGATCAATATATGCAAATGGGGGTTTATCAGATCACTATTAATTCTGATATGTATTTTTTCTTGATACGATATTGTCATCCACATGGCTTTGCTCGGATAGGTGACTCTGAGATCCCAAGCAGATCCCATGGCCGAATGAATTGCACCGAGCAAGGAGAGTATCCTCCTGGAGATTAAAGTGTTTTGAATCAATAAGGCTTTGATTTTTTCAGCATTCAACTACAACGTACTGCCGGCCACTATACAGTACTACTCATGTCATTTTGTAGACTGACCATACTGGTCAGTAAATTACCATATTGGTTGTAAATCAAAGAAAATGACATCTTATTATTCTAGATGTAACACAGGATTGGAGTAAGCGAAGATTCTTGAGGGACATTCCAGGGTAACGGTAGGTTTTGTAGAAAAAATAACTTCTAAAGGATTGAAATACAAAAAAAGAGTGGAATATATTTAGAACAGTTTTCTATATGTAGAGGTTATAGAGATATCATTCAAGTATTTATAAAGCAGTGGCTCATTATAACTACCTTTGGGCACTTTCAAAAATTACAATATGGATATTCTTTCTAGTTTTCACATTATATTTTGCATTGATTTTGATTTACAAATGAAATAAAGATGCAAATCGTATTGAAAAAAAAAGTAATAACAGTGGTGTGACTAGTCTGTTGCCAACCACACAAGAGTACGAGCCAGGAGACCATGTTATAACGTGTGAAACTGTCATCATTTTTCCTTATCAAGATGATATCATGCAACATAATTTTCAATTTCCCGAAATGAAATATAGTACCAGAAGCAATTTCTTACAAAGATAACTTAAACAAAACTTAATTACATAAACCACGCTTAGAAAATATTTATTAGAATTATTAAACCAAGTCTTAAGATTAAGATTGAGTAGCAAGTGGCATGGTGGCATGGAAGTGCAGTTCAAGTTTCACGTCGCTCTGTCTTTGTTACTATGTAATGTGGTTATAATTTAAAATTCTGCTATACGACTTTTCAACAGTGACCAAATAAACAGCTGTACATTTTCATATTCACATATGTTCAAGTGAGTAACTACTGATTAACAATGAAGCAGTAATAAATTAGTGCTCGTTCGGTAAGCCCAAGTGCCCCGTAATCCCTTGCGGGTTTTACCTTATCTGCGATAAGTTCACGGTCAAGGCTCGGCTCTGTGTACCCTAACATTCTTCGGTTTTGTGATCCAATGACGTTAAAATCAACAGGAACTCTAGAGAAAATAATAAAATATTGATTAACCATTTAACTTTCAAAAACTATGACTTCCATTGCCACAAAAACAAGAAAAGGCGTATCAAGTGGTTCTGAGAGTTCTGCATTCAACCACCCCATATCTTTCATCAAAACAGGCCTGGAAAAATCGGTCATAACGTCAGGCACATCGCAACCGTACAACATCCTACAGCAAGATATCTGCTACCATCATTCTTTTTAGACTTGGAATCATCAAAACCCAATACTGAAATATGTCAGGTTAAAGTTTAGTATACTTAACAGTTCAATTTAAGAAGCCATGACAGGAACCCCTAATATTACAGTGCACTAAGCGTCAAAACCTAAGGCATACAAAGGCCAATTGCCAACACGAAGCCAAATGCGTTAAATGCGACGGCCTTCACGCTTGAGACATTTGCCGGAAGCCAAGAGATGAGCCTACGACATGTGCTGTTTGTGGTGCAGCCCACCCTGCGAGCTTTAGAGGTTGTGAGGTATATAAAAATCTCCACAAACAGAGATCACGCAAATCAGCGACGAAAATCCTTGGACCTGCTCAGAAAACTTGCCCTGAAGTACCTGAAATTGTAAATCAGGAAACTTTCCTAGCTTTGCCGACTTCACCTTCCCTCGTCATCCAACAACATCCATCTATTTCTACAGCTAAGAATTACCCTCATCAGCATCCCAGCAATTCTCCCTCCCAGTCTTCCATCAGTAAGAATCGGAATCAGTCTGGCGCCTCAAATCTCCCAATCCTAAACTTCTAATACTCAACCTCAACCTCCTCATCATCTACCCTTGAGGGCCAAACTCCCGCCAGAGCATCCACAACCAGCTCCATTCGTTCCAAATCCCAAGATGAACCTCTCATCAAAAGTCCAACAGAATTTATGGAAATTTATGATCTTGTGGAAAGGGGGTGGACTGAGAATTTGAATTGGAGAAGGTAGTAGGCGTAAGAAGGACGATGATTGTTGATGATATGATAGAGGACTGTACCTAGGAAATATTGTCTTCGAATGGAGGGGAAGAGTTACTCTAATTCAGTGTATTGGTGAGAGACATGGTAGTATCTCGAGGCACCAATTTTTTTAGGACACCAAAAATATATATTTTTTTAATGCTCTATATTCATTTCTTTCAGTGATCTAAGCTAAACACTTAAACAATCAAATTCTATACTATTCTTAAATTATAACTTACGTATGTCAGCAATTAAATGTAACCACGTATCAAGAAAAAAATGTATAAATGTATCCCCAAAAGCATCATTGTTACTATAATTTTTTTTTAATTTACTTTATTTTTTGACAAAACATTTAAAGACTGCTTAAACATTATTTTTTTCTGAGTAATTGCCGTAAATAAAAAAAAAAAGTTATCCTAAAAATTACCGACTGTTATTGAATAAATGTTATAGTTTAATGAAGATCCTGATAAAAATCAATAATCAAAATAAGGTCGTTCATCATAAATTTCTATTCATTTAAATCATATCAATTGATCAATATACAGAGTAATCAACAGAATAATAAAAGTTGTGAAATAAATCAAAAGAAAATCTCACTAATCCGTAATAAAATGAAAATCTGGCATAAGTAGAGCTTATGATAAAAAATTCATACTAATTAAATGAGAGGGTTGAGTGAGGAATAATAAATGAGAAGTAATAAGGGAAACGGAAAAAATAAAAACATAATAACGAGGAAGGTAAAACCGTGATCTTTTAACACTCCTTCTGTTCTAGGTAAATACTTTTGTTATTTTCTTATTAAATACAGTTTTTTAATACTATAATAGTTTGGGATAATTATTTACGATTATTAATAATTTCTAAAAAGTATATACATATGAAAATTATGTTATGTCTTTTCAAAATTAGCTATACGACAGATACTCCAATTTTAGAAAAACTTTCTCCTTTAAGCTTTAAATCCATATTTGGTGGAGGTTTACCAAGGGAAAATATTAAAATTCGCCTCAAGTTGTGTATAAAAAATTATGTGATTTTATTTTCTCCCATCTAAAAGTATCCATGTTTTAAACAACAATGACTACGATGTATTGTTAAAAAATTTTATCTCTTGTTTTTCCATGATCTGTGACGTATTACAAAAATTTAATGATTTTTAAGGCGATTAATTATCATGTAAAGTGATAGTAAAAATGTGTTTTTTTTTTTTTTTTTACTAAGATCTCTCCTTAAGCCTCGCTTTTCCCTCCACAAGTGGTGTGAAAGTCTAGTTCGGAGTTTCCATGGCCGATTGTAAATATTTTAAATAGATAAGCCTGCGTCTAAGATATTTACTTTTATCACTTTTTTTTTAAGAACATTTTTATTCTATTTGATTCATTTATTTTTATTTTATTATTACCATTATTTATATTTTCTTCCTTCATTATGATATTTTATTTTGTTCTTATTTCGCTGTATATTATTTTGAAATTACCTTATTTATTTTTTTGATTTTGTAAATATGGTCTGAATGTGCTCTCTGAACTCTATGATAAATGTCCTTTGTTGAGGCAGATTGTAATATTTATCAATAAACAAGTAATCCATTATTATTTACTAAGGTCTCTATTACTCTCTAGAAATAAAATGTCTGTTTATGCATTTATGTTTAATATTATACATCACAGTCCATCGAAAAAAAATAATAAAGTTTTTAAATAATTTATTGTAGTCATTTTTGCTGAAAACTTTTAGGTATATAAAACCTTTTTTTTTTTTTTTTCTTACAGACCTTAAAGTAGGGTATCTTGTAGTATAGTTGGATGGTGATAAAAAAAGAAATCTTGAGTTATTTATAATTTTTTTTTCACAAAACAGAACATAGTATAGTTTATCCACACAAAATATCTCTTTAATTGGTTTTTAAAATGACAAACTTTGTTTTAATTTCAAGTCAATTTTTTCTCGTTTATAGTGAAGCAGTTCTCAATTACTCATATTAAATATTTCTTTAGTTATCGTTTCCTATTCAACACAAAACATTACATACTAAAAAAAACACAAAACTTAAATTTCCTACTTTTCTGTCGAAAATTTGACCAATGTTTATATGAACTATATTGTAGCTCTTGGGGTTCGCTACCACTACTATAAATATTTCCCTCTACTTACAGGACATCCTGAAGAAATATAATTTGGACCTCAACTTAGTTAGAACATAGAAATATTACAATCTGTATCAAAGAACATTTATAATAGTGTTCAGAGGGTATTATGCACACCGTATGTACAATAAATAAAAATAAATTAAGTAGAAAATAATATAACTAAGGTAAACTCCTAACCAAGTCTTCCTCACAATCGTGGATCACAGCGCCTCTCGCTGTGTAGCATTACCAGTTGGACTAGTTAGACCTCAATTTAAAATTTAAAAAAAAAATCGCTTATTTCAGTCAGGTATTATTACTATAAATTTAAAATTTAGGAAAATAATCAGATATTAAGGGAAACACCCCTAAATTTTTTTTATGGAAATTATTTCATCGTTAAAAACTATAAATTATATTAATAATGTGCATTACTCACCAATGGGTCCACCTTGAGCCGGCGCATGTGAGGTATGCTTCGCTTCGGCCTGGCCCCAGCTAGGCCTCGGTGTACAAAATGGAATTCATTAGAAGAACCCAAAACCTGGAAAAAAAAAATCGAATGATCAAGTTATAAGTTGGTTAAATAATACGGTGATTTACACACTTCAAATATATATATATATTAAGACTCCAGTCATCTATGAATTGTAACAACTAGAGCTACGTAGGCATATGTAGTCCGCGGAACAGACTCCTTTTTATAAAGATATTAACATCTAAAACTACGATGTCTTTATCGTATCGTAACCTACAATATTTGTATTCACGAAAACTCTCGGAAATAAAAAATTTCAATCTGGAGATCGATAAACCTCGTCTTTTTAAAGATGTATTAAAAATTCTTGTACTCCCAGCGTTTGCTTTCCACTTGAATCCTAAGATAATTTAAAAATTCGAAAAAAAAAGCGCCCTGTACAAATATTGGGCAGCTTAGCCAATATAACCTCGTTATTTCGACAATTTAGGTATGAAGGTCACACCAAACAGCCCAATATTTTTTGTGATCAAATTAATTAATTTATTGATTAAACGCTCCATTTTTAAGAATTTAAAACGGACTAATGCCTTTTCTCAATTTAAACGAACTTAAAACCATAAACTATTTTTCAGTGTAAGTATTTAATTTTGTATAAATCTGCGTGTTATCCTCCTCCTCAATATAATTTATTTATATAGTTCTTTAATATTTTATATATTTTATCTTTCTAGTTTACTCAGTGCAGAAAAAAACTCTATAATTAAATCGCCTTTATTCTCCATCAGGTAAATAAATAAAAATAAAGTTCAGTAGCTCCAATTAAAACGATCGTATTAGAGACTGCTAGAAATTATTCCAACATTTATTTTATTTTTTTATTTTGACTTTATTCATTATAAAGTATTAACAAAATAATAATAAATATAAAACTTTAACATAACATCCTTAGAAAATAAGGTTAAATGCTGCCAAAACTCAGGCCATTGGAATTGGTTCTTAGCCCCTTCTTAGATCCTATACCTATACTTTCACATACTAAACCTTAATGACCAGTCAATCTCCTTCTATTCCTTTGTTAAAAATTTAAGATTTTTCATTGATCAAACCCTCTCCTGGAATCACCATATTTCTCACATCTCTCGACGGACCATTTTACCCTCAAATTATTCCATCGCTTCCGCCATCTCCTACCTCAACATACGCGCATATTCCTGGTTTCCTCTCTCTTCTTTCCCCACTTTGACTACATCTGTGTGGTGTATGATGGACTTTCGGTGGAGCTCCTTGACAGACTGAAAAGGCTAATGAACAGCTGCAAAATATTTGTAATTGGTGCGTCGAGATACTCCCATGTCTCTCAACACTGCACTGAGTTAAAGTAGCTCTTCCCCTCCATTCGGAGACAATATTTCCTAGGTACGTTCCTCTATCAAATCATCAACAATCATCGTCCTTCTTACGCCTACAACCTTCTCCAATTCAAGTCCTTAGTACATTCCGTTTCCACAAGATCTCGACCTTCTGACCCTTACATCCCTTCTCACTGCAGATTCCCTCCCTATCTACATTTAAAACCCTCCTATTCCAATTCCTGTCCCAAAAACAGTCAGATACCCGATAATCTTTTATGTAAAGTTACATATTATTCATAATGATGTATTTACATATAATTCATCACTTGAATACTCAGACAATTTTTACTATCAGATTCGCCATTCTTTTTTTTTCTTTTATACAGAAATACAGAGTTTATTTCTAAGAAGAATGTTATGTATTTTTTATTTATTTATTTTTCTAAAACTGTATATTTATGTTTTACCACTATACATAGTTTTAAGTTTTTTGTATATAGACTTTTTTTTATTTTGTATTTAGTATGTTTAACTAATGTTTTCTTTACTTATTTCTCTTTCTTTTTACTTTTTGTGTTTGTTTTTATTCAGGCCAGATATAATACTTTAATTTTGTACATATTCTAAAAGGACTTTGTCCCAGAGTAAAATTATTATCTCTTCTTTTCTAAAAAAAAAAAAAAATATTCTCCACGATTTCCATCTTTATTATAATTATTATATTTTGAGGGATGTGAAAGTCGGCTTTAATATTGATCCATATGAACCTTTTGTGAAAACCCCTCAATCGCTATTAAGAAACCTTAGATATTGTACGCTCCATACAAAGCATATTAAATCCTTCAGGTTCCCTCTACTTGTATCTACTCGTCTTAGAATTACTTAATTTGGGTATTGCAGTCTTGTAGGGCTTCACTTCACAAAGGATGAACTCGCCCTTTACTTAGCCCTCTAAGACAGATCCAGTCGGCGGAATAACCCTTTAAATTTATCATCTTGAGATGAAGTTCAAGGAGCAATGGCGCCCGAGGAAAGCCTTTATTGTTCTCAACTCGTTCCTTGTCAGGTTAACGCGAAATTTTTCTTTTTTCCTCTGAAAAATTAATAAAAACTTTGGAGTGTTTCCTACCGGGTTTTGAAGCCCCGTCCGTATATCTCCTTTTTTCATTTCGCGAGATTCAATTTCTTTTCTGATTACATTTATCGCAGTGCCAATAAATAAGTTTTCTTCCTTTGAGACTGTCCTTGATTTCATTCTTTGTATATATTTAATTTGAACTTACATGAGGTCACAGGAAAATTATATATACATCCCGACGTTCTTTCAAATGAGCCTTAGGAACCGAGAAAAGAAATATATTTTCAAAAACATTTATGTTATTTCTTTTCCTGGATGTGATTTTTAATATAGCCATCGATTTTTTTTTTTTTTTTTTAGCTGAATAAGAAAAAAAATATTCGGTTGATACAACCTAACTTTAGCAATCTAGGAGTAAATATTGTTTTTAAGAAACACAAAGTTTATATTCATTTTCCACAACTGGAAGAACTCTTAAATACTATTTTTCATAACAAATCATACAATATTTTTGCACGAAATGTAATGTGGAATAAAGTCTAAAAGATAGTAAGTAATTTTTTTTTCCATCTGGTAGCATTTCTTATCGTTTATAATGATTGTTTTCAATTTTTTTAAATTTATGAAATCTGTTCATAATCCACGACTATAGTAAAAGTTATTGTAAAAATTCTTAATATTATAAATAACATTATTATATATAATATTATTATAACATTATAAATACGAAATACAAAAAAAAAAAAAAATCTATATACAAAAAACTTAAAACTATGTATAGTGGTAAAACATAAATATACAGTTTTAGAAAAATAAATAAATAAAAAATACATTACATTCTTCTTAGAAATAAACTCTGTATTTCTGTATAAAATAAAAAAAAGAAAAAAAAAGAATGGCGAATCTGATAGTAAATATTGTCTGAGTATTTAAGTTATGAATTATATGTAAATACATCATTATGAATAATATGTAATTTTTACAATACAATCAATTTTTTTTATAAAAATCTATCACGATACAGATATTTGTTATGGTACGGAATGAGTACATTCACGCCATATATAACCAATTTAAATTTTAATTCGTCAGGGGACAGTTTTCTAATTATAGAATACAGTTTAAAGTTTTATAGACAAAACATATGTTATGCTATCTGCTCTACACCAAAAGTTAATCCACATAATTTAGCCTAAATGTTGGCTATAATATTATAAATATACTCAAAAAAATAATTTAATTTATTACTTTTTATAAACTTTTCAACTCTTTCTCGATATGTTATTATCAGGAATCATAAATATGACATTAGCTTCGATGCCCAATCGGCCTTTACAACTGAAAGTTGAAAGAAAATCATAAAATATTTGACAGTTGGAGATGTTGTTTAAAAATATTGAACATTATAAATATAATGTTAATTTATATTATTTCTATTTAATAACCAATAAAATTTCAATCCTAATAATCATTTTAAATTTAAGAAGTCGGGTTCACCAAATATTGGTTTCTTGGTTATAGCCAGGGTCGGGCCCGGATTTTTATGTAGTAAAAAGTCCCAACATATGTCATATAATATGTAATAAAAAACCCGTCGAATATTCAGTGGTAAAACATTGAATATAGTAGTACAGCGAAAACATTTCGAAATACGTCTAAAATATTCGATTTCACTAATGTGAATTGTTAATCCACATAATTTAGCCTAAACGTTGGCTATAATATTATAAATATACTGAAAAAACTAATTTAATTTATTACTTTTTATAAACTTTTCAACTCTTTCTCGATATGTTATTATTAGGAATCATAAATATGACATTAGCTTCGATGCCCAATCGGCCTTTACAACTAAAAGTTGAAAGACAATCATAAAATATTTGACAGTTGGAGATGTTGTTTAAAAATATTGAACATTATAAATATAATGTTAATTTATATTATTTCTATTTAATAACCAATAAAATTTTAATCCTAATAATCATTTTAAATTTAAGAAGTCCGGTTCACCAAATATTGGTTTCTTGGTTATAGCCAGGGCCGGGCCCGGATTTTTATGTAGTAAAAAGTCCCAAAGTATGCCATATAATATGTAATAAAAAACCCGTCGAATATTCAGTGGTAAAACATTGAATATAGAGCGAAATAATTTCGAAATACGTCTAAAATATTCAATTTCACTAATGTGCCTACAAAACGGTTTGCACTTAGGGATTAAAAATTAAATAGAATTTTTTTTATAAACTAAAATAATTTAAACATATCATTATAAATAAAACCGGAAATAAAAATGTATATTTATTAATGATCAATAAGATAAAAAGAAATAATTTTTTAGAACTACGAATTACGAACTTATGAATTAGTAATAAAAGAAAACTTGCAATATTTTAAACTTAAAAAATAATTGAAAATATGAACAAAATAAATATAACGCCGATAGATTAATATAACTGAATTGAATGGATTGCAGAAAACTGAACACTTGTTCAATATGAAACAATTGTTTAATCTTTGGAATCGTAGGGATTGATTCAGTATTTCAATTTTGAAGAAAATGATTCACTTAAAATTATAAAAAATATAACCGCTTTTATAAAATGGAAACTGAGTCAGTTGTTGAGAAGTTAAAA